TTAGGGATAATTGCCGGCTTCCCGTTTATTGAGGCTTTGGCGCAAGAAATGGGCTGTCATGTTCAGTGGCATGTACAGGAGGGAACTACTTTAACTACGAGCTTCACCAAAGTCGCGTCCATCTCGGGCCCCACTGAGGAGATTATTCATGGGGAGCAACTAATAAAATCAATATTGTGTCGGGCCTCCGGAATCGCCACATTCGCGGCTAAGTAATTAATTCCTTTATATGCATGCGTGACAGACTAAAAAAACTGCTCAAGGATTTCTCGTGGAAGGGTGAACTTGTCTCGCCCCCAAACCCAACACCTGGATTTGCGTTGGTTGAAGAATATGCCATGCTCGTCGCAGGCGTTCCTACTCCAAGAAGCAGTTCTTCCGTGCTTCTTCAGTGCTCGCAGCTAAAAACACCTGCAGACCTTAAAGAAGCAATAAATAATTTAAAAATCAAGGCAGGAAAAGGTACTCAGGTTAAAGTGGAATGCGCGTCACTAAGTGAAGCGAAAAGTGCCGTGGAGGCTGGGGCCAATGTAATACGCTTTGACGGACTAAATGCAAAGGTACGTTAGTGCCGCTTTACTTATACCTCTTAGGACTTGAGTAACTTCTGCGCACAAATCAAGTCACTGGCACCTGGCGTGCTCATCGAAGCGTTAGCAAATTTTGATGAAACAACACTACGCCCGTTCGCCCTGCAAAACGTGGATTCACTGACCACCCGAAAACTTTGCAACGGTTATCCACTTTTGGACTTTAAACTCACCTACACAGCCTTTGATGGGCCAGATTCCACTGTGGTCACTTCTAGCCTTAAACGCGCTGCTCCAGGTACGTGCCCATTTTTAAGGTTACATTAATACTGCTCCATCATCACGTGTCTGCATCACGGGTAGGAATGGCGTAAAGAGTGCCAACGTAGATGCGATCCACAGTCACTTGACAGGATGGTTTAGATGTATTTATTTGCTCCTAAGCAGTCTGGGTCGCGTTTAATGTGCTCGGATGCTTAACATAGGTTCTCGATATTGGACCAGCCTTTCTATGCTGTAGGAAGAGAAAAAAGACTCAGTTGTCTATTTCCTGCCAGGATGTGCAAAAATTCGGACGTGGCAACACGGCCCGTCCTTAGGTCACTTAACCAGTCACCACCACCCTTTTAGTTTGGTCCATTCGCATGCATTCCTGTGCTTGGGACTGTGGCAAGTTAACGTGGTTTTCAGCGGTTTGTTCACGTAGTGAACTCTTGGGGATAGTGATATGAGGAGCAGTATTGTTTTACGTCGCTGTAAAGCAAAACTCTTAGATTGGGTATTCGCGACGAGTGATCGTTTAGTTAACGTGTCCGTGGATCCCACTCACTATATTATTGCGAGGCATCAAACCAACATCCAGGTCATTTATGCGTGTGAGCTTGAAACGTGATCTTTTAGAGGAGTATTGGTGATTGACGTCAGCGTGTTCTATTTCTTGTAGTCATTTCCGAAAAATCATTTTTACGGACCACCTGTCGGAAAACCTAAAAGTCATGGTTTGCTAGGTCTTGCTTTTATACCCATGTACCAAAAACTGTTATGGTGTCGGCCAGATTTGTACTATTTCGTGCCCGTCTCTGCTACGACTACAATTGTCTGTTCTAACTTGTCTTAGTTTTAATGGCGTATCTGCGTACCGTTAGACACCTGCACGTAACAGTCGTACTACTCAGTTATTCTAGGTTGTCTGCTCTACTCCTATAAGCCTAGGTATCGGCAGAAAATGAAGTTCTTCATTGAACTTTGTGATGATGCGTGAGTCAGTCGATGTGCCAAATCCTTATTTTTCATGCCCTATCGGCACTACAGCTCTTGGTCCACTACTTCTTGCGATATACGCGTAGGTAGTTTTTTCGCACAGAAGTTGCTGAAGACTATTCCGTGATTCACAACCTGTGGACGTCCCGGGTAGCTGTACTAGTTACGACTGCGACGTCCCGGGTAGTTAGCGGCCAAGGAATCAGTCAAATCTCTATACATATGCATGAGCAGTAGCATACACTGTGCGTGCGAGGTACTCAGTTTCGCGTTAGGATACAGAGGGTGTAGGCTATCTTCTGTAAAACTTATCGCATGGAAAAGCTGTCCGTACTTTTTTTTTTTACTAAAATGACCTGCACATATGTTTAAAGCCGATGGAAGGTAGTGGTGAGAAACCTAACGCGCAAAACCAAACCTTACCCATCTCTAGTTTTCGCAGTCTAGAAATAAATAGCTGGTCACTGACGTACTAACATACTGGTCCATAGTGCGGTCCGTTATAAGAACCGAACGTGTTTTTCAATCGCAAGTGGGCCAATTAGAAAATAAAACTAAAGAACCTACACCGACATTCTATACTTCATCCAGCTGTTTTCTTGCTCAATTTACAGTAATACTATTTGCTGATCCACCATTTTTTCAAAATAAGTTCACTTTAGTCATTACTGGTCGGAAATAAGGGTTTGAGCTACTCAATTTACAAAAGATTGAAGCCTAGCAACATGCCTACATGAAATCCGAAAGCGCATATTTATTTTTAGTAGGACCTTGGTTTTAGGCGCTTGTGTCATGCTGACGTCCTGAATTATAGGATTTCTATTTCTTGGCGCGAAGCTGTGCCGCACCATTCCCACTGAACATCATAATAGCGACGCTTAACAGCTGTAAACGAAATAGGGACATGTTTCTGTAGTATTTATATCTTATCACTTTTTCATTGTTTGACACCATTGTAGTTCATCGGCTGATGACAAAACGTGGACTTTCAAAACTTTTTAACTCATCTTAAGGAGATAGCCAACCTGAATTCGAGATGCACATAAACTGTTCTGACTGGCATGGCCGTGTATTCTATGGCGTCTATCGCCTCCCACGAAGGGGAATCGCACACACTGAAACAATCGGCCGGACTTTGTGTCCTGCGTGCTGACACTGGTCGTTAAGCGACATATTTAAACCGTAACGGAACATTACAGTGTGTCACTTAAACCAGACTACGACAGCATTTTAGTTTTTTAACGGTCTTTAGGGATACGAATATTTGTGTAGGTCTGACGTGTAAGTGGCGCACTTAGACGTGGAAACAGTGTGTAGGTAATTACAGCGCTCGCAATATATCCAATTGTGTTGCCGTAGAAATGCGAGGGAGATATGCGAAAAAAGCAAATGCAACACAATATGTCATCCTAGTTCGATTCACGAGTAAATCACCATTAGTAGTGGTTCTTGTCGCGCAAGTTGGACGAACTGTCTTTGTGACATGTGGCACCCGATATACCCACAATAAACAATCTTCAGCCGAGTTAACTTTTTGCGTTATTCGTCTGCTTATACCTTGTTATTCACCGGACGTTTTTAGTTCCTGAACACTTATGTGACCGAAAACAAGCAAAATATTTGAGTTGTACCTGCCTCGTAAAGCAGTGCCGACAGTTCCCGGAGGAGTATTAAAGCTCCATAGATCTCGTGCAGGATATCAGCTGCCCTTACTTTCGTTCGTAGGGTGCCTGCCTAGCCAGTTTCCTAACCAGCCAAAGGCGATACTAAGTATTTACGGTGCGCATCTGTCTGATGAATACACCATGCTATTGCTTGCTGCCCATAGAACAGGCGTTTCCTTTTGTGCTAGCTTTTAAATAGCTGTAGCCCAGTATACAAGAAGATGCGTGGCTTCGCAAGATATTGATGTTAGGAAAAGGACAGAAATTATCTCCTAATCCTTATCCTTTCGGGGGTACAGAAATTAAAAATGTGAACGCTGCTGGCCATATTTACTCGCCGCTGGTTCGCCCGGAGCTGTCCCGGTCATGAATGGCGTGACTAGCGTTTAGACTACTGCTATTGCCCCCCCTTGCCCTGTAGGGGGAACATACGCTGGAGTTGGGTGGGCTAGCAGAACGGTTTGCTTAAAGACGAACATTTTTTGCATTGATTTCCTTAACATATTTAGAAAAAAAAACTCGTTGAGAAAAGTCCCAACTTTGAGTAGAACCGTACATGGCGTGAGTTGATAAAATAATGTAAAATTCAAAACTCGACAGTCTCGCTCCCATTCACAAACGACTGAGCTACTATTGCAGCGAGACTCGTCAAACAATCTGTTCGACTGCTAACAAGTATCTTCGAAATATTGCTTCCACTAAGAAAGGAATCCTGGACGAATAGAAAGATACACCATGCAAACCACAAGTTTAGGTGCCCTGTGATTTTTTAATAGACCAAAAGAATAGCAAACAGTTAGCAAACACAATCGAAAAACTCACACTCTGAAAAGATACAGGATTAAAAGCTTCGGAAGGTGGGAGGCTGGGGCGAACGTAAGCATCTGGATGTGTATGCCATTTTTTTAATCTCAGTTAGGCTTCAATATACGGAATTCAGCAGCGTCCTGTCAAGATACTTACCTCGGGATAAGGCCGTACTGAGTCAAGGTAACGGTTCTTTTATATCGTACTGGCCAGAATCATCTTTGGTGGGTTAACAAATAACCCAAAATCTGGGGTTCGACTAGTAAATATTCAGAATAATCTTAATTAATTAATAGAATTAAGAAAGAGATCAACATGCGAACTGGCACGTTTTTCTTAAAAGTAAAATGAACATAAGCTTAAGCATTATTCGCAATGTCGTGTTCTGTTTTATCTAACAAAACTACAAATGATAGCAAAAGCATATATTTTTTACTGTATTCCTCCAGCTCTAAAAGTGTTTGCTTTATGGAAGTAAGGTCCCTTTTTTACTTTATACGGCTGTGATCATGCCTGATCTAGCCGGCCTCAACGATGTTATGGACGGTACCTCTCCACGCGTGACGATTAGCGGTAACTGATGTGGAAAGCTCCACCCATCCTCTTTTTCAGCAACGGAGACCGCAAATCGAAGGTCCATAGTCACTTTTTGGACCGAAACAAATTGGTGGATTCTGTTGTAGAACTTTCGAGATAAGATGATTCTCAATGAACAAATTAGTAAGCGCATTAGGTGTTCAGGCTTTGCTTGTCCAGCCGTAGTTTCAGGTTTCACTTCTGTTCTCGCGTAGCCGATGAATGCAAGCATACATCTGCATCCCCGCAAAGCACATGGCCACCCGTTCTGTGTCAGGTGCTATCCAGTAACATAAATTTACCTCTGACCTGTGAAAGCAACATGGCTGTGCATAGATTACCACAGTGAATTCCTCCAGAGCCTATCAAAAAATGCGGATAAATTCCTTGTTCGTAGGATTACTACATAACATTTAGAAACGTAACCTATCTTTGTTTGGTGAGGCACGGTTTCTCGTAATGTACCTTGCTCATTCGATTCTAACATCTTTAATACAGGGGGACATGGACGTGGAGTTCTGCATTCAAATTTATACATTTTAAGAGCTTGCTGCCTGCACCGAGAGGAAAAGGCCAGTAAATTTAATTCTTACAATGAAAATGCACATAAGGTTTCCATCCTTGCTTGCTCTCGAATCTTGAACGTAGGTGGTAGTTTGTAGGTAAGCTTTTGTGGTGTGCAATGGGTTGATAACCGGCTGCGTTTCAAATGTGGATTGCAGCGTCAGAATTAAATAAAGTCGATTCTCCACTCGTGATTGGCGGCCCTTAGACTAATCAGAGGTTTTCAGTTGCTCATTAATTGCAAATATTCTGCCCGACGGAGGACTTCCGATGAGGGCTTGTGTTTAGGTACTGAATCGATTAGGCAATGTCTTGATATTCTTATTGCATTCAGTACGTACGACTGCATACTCAAGTCCTTGACTGCTTTTGAAGTACGTAGCTTCGCCCGAAGCCAGCTATCTTCAAACTGTTCATTGCAGTCCTC